GGCTTGCCACTGCCTGGCCAGGGTGCCAGACTAGGTGGACCACGGGGCTCTCCGTGTGTCACCAGCTTCCCGCTGAGACACCGCAGGGGAACCTCCCCCACGTGGCTGCAGTGGGCTCTTCCCCATAGATGGGTTGCTCCAGCCTTGGCGCCCCGTTTTTCCTGGCCAGGCCATGGGCCCAGCGGGGGTGGACACGGGCTTGGAGGGGGCGGTTGTGCACCCGCTCATTGTGGCACTCGCCTCGCAAGCGCACGGCAAGCTCACCAGTACGAGGGCAGCCAGCGGCAGAACCGCCAGCCTCGCTTGGGCCAAAGCAGGGCAGGGCAGGGCAGGGCCCGGGCGCTGCTCCCGACATCCAGGCACAGGCTGGGGAGCCGAGCGCCTGCCGCTCGACACAGGGGCTCCCAGCGCCAGTCCAGCCAAGCCCCCTTCGCAGCAGTGGGCGGGCTCGCGCCGGCGAGAGCAGCATGGGGCGCCACCCGCGGACTGCCGTCAAAAGCCACGCAGGCGGCTGGCGGGCCCTGGAGCCCCGTCTGAGGACGCAATTCCGCGCAGGGTGCTGGGCGGCTCGAAGGCTAGCTGGGCCCCCTCTGGCCTATGGCGACCTCCGGGCCGGGTGAATCCAGGCAGCAGGCTGCTGGGTGGCTCGTGGGGCAGCTGCCACCACACGCGTGCCGCCTCGAGCTGCACCCACAGCCGTCGTCCAACTCCACAAGGCACATCTAGGCCGTTACGGGGAAAGGGATCCGGCAAGGCGCTTCCGCTGGGCAGCTGCGGGCAGCGGGCCTCCGACTCAGCAGGCCATCGGTGCTCTTAGGTGCTGCCCCATGTGCCAACACAGCAGAAGGGCAGTACTCCCGGGGCAGCCGTGCCTGCTGGGACTTGATGCCGGACCGGCCGTGGCTGCAGGAGGGCAGGAGCAGGAGCTGGCCTGGCCGGAAGGGCACCTCGGATCCCGGCCGCGGTCAGAACTGCCCCTTTCCCAGCCTTTCAGGACGGTGCCAGGTGCCGCCATGACACGCCTAGCCAGTGCCCCGTGCAGCTGACTGGGTCTTATTTGGCAGAAAGGCTTTGCACCTACTGGGCACTCAACCCTTCAAGAAGAGAGTCTCCAATTCAGCGAAGTGGCGGCTGTGCTAGACAGCTAGTATTTCCTGCAAATCCATATTTTGATGATGCGATTTTACAAGGCAGCCGCCATACAGTTTGGAAATGGAACAATTTTAATATGCGCTGATGTACCCTTTGAATTATTGACTTGCTTCACAGAAATTGCACAACTGACTTGGATCCTCTCTACTGCTAAGAGCCGCTTGCCGCAGCATCCGCAGTGTCAACGCTCCCCGCCTATAATGCAGTGGATTTTGGGGCTTGCACGTTCGCTGCATGAAGAGGTAGCACCTTTGTCAAAGGGATCCCATCAGGAAAGCCTGCGGCACCAATCGTGGCGGCCAACTCGCCCAGCCAGGCGGCCCGTGCCTGGAAGTGCCCCGCAGGGCCCCCTTCCTGCTCCCGCCCAGGCAGGAGGGCAGCCGGCCCCTGCCCCGGCAAGCGGGATTTGGCGGGGGGCTCTGCTGTGCTGCGTGGGCCAGGCCTGCTGAGCGGCCCCTGTGGGTTGCCGAAGGAGCCGCCGACCCGCTGGGGAGCCACACGCAGGAGCGCCCGCCCGCCGAGGACTCATGCCCGAGCGGCGAGGCGGACGCCCAGCCCTCCGTTGCCCCCACCCAGCCACAGAGGCTGCAGAGCTGGCCTGCACGGCAGACCAGCCAACGGGCGACGCGCTCCCAGAGCAGGAGGGGTCTGTGGCCACGCGAAGCGCACAAGGCCCCAAGCGACTGCCCAGGCCCGGGCACCCAGCACCTTCTGGAGGCTCAGCACCGACAAATGTAAGAGCAGCACTTCCAGTCGCCTGGGGGAGCCTGCCCAGCACGCAGAGGATGGCAGGGCAGGGCAGGGCGGGGGGCCCGCTGGGGGGGCGAGCAGCAGAGCCTCGTTGCCTGTCTTGGCATGGACATCTGAGCGGGACGCTGCAAACTGGCCGACAGCCTTCCTGCTCTCTGGCAACCCTCCTCTTCTGACTCTGAGGAGCCGCTGATGGGAGCAAGAGGCGCGCCGGCTGCCCCGATGCCTCCCTTGGCCTCCAGGTCCCAGCTCTCGTTCCTGGCACCCCACTTGACCCGCAGCGCCTCTTCTTTCAGAGGCCTTCGCTTTGCAGGCCTGCCCCAAACAGGCGTGGGAAATCTCCGGGGCCTCCCTGGGCAGGCCCCGTGCAAAAACAGCACGGGACGAATCTGCCGCCCCGAGCGTGGCCAAGCCCCATGGCTGGCAACCCCCCACCCACCCACCCCCACCAGCCATGCGGGCACACAAGAGCCCCCAGAGCGCGCACGCAGCCGTGGCACCCAAGGGGAGCATGGGCGGCCCCCGAGGACCCACCCCTCATTCCAGCAAGCCCCGGCAAGGCCCGCCATCGTGAGCACAGGCACGTGGCCGCGTGCAGTGGCCCTTCCGTGGTGGACGCAATGCCGCCCCCCCCCCAATTCTCCCAGCAGGGCAATGCACAGCGGTGCCAGCGCCTCGCCAGCCCCCGCCCCCCACACGGCCAAGGCAGCTGCCCCAGCACAGCCACCTCCCTGCTTCTGGATTTCCGGTTCCGGCGGGGAGCAGCTGCACCTTCGCACCAGGCCCAGCAGAGGAGACGCGATGCCCAGCTCGCTTCGGACCAGAGCACACCTTGCCTGCAGCTCAGCTGGAGGCCGCATCCCAGCCGGAGAAGGGGCCTCCTTCCACCTGGCCCCAGTCCAGAGCCAGCCCCATCCGCTCCGGCAGGGCGGTCTGTGAGCTCTCTGGATGGGCCGTGGCGTCCGCCCTGCCCGCCGTCCCTGCCTCGAGGAAGGGGTTTTGCTGCTGGCCTGCCCCTTCCGCAGCGGCTCAGTCACGCCCCCACCCCCGTGGCCTCACAGGGGTCAGCAACTCGAGCCACTGGGGCGGGCGCACTCTTGCCGTTCAAGCAGGCGCCGCAGGCGCCAGTGGCCTGCCGGGGGGAGCAGCTCTGGGGTCGGCGAGCCCCACCCCGAGAAGCAGCAGAGCGCTCCAGGGGCACGCGAGGTGGAGCAGATCCCCCCACCCTGCCCTGGCAGGCCACGTTCCCAAGCCTGCCCCTTTCCGCAGGCTAGCCCCTGTAGCGACACGAGACGCTGGCCCGGCTGCCTTCGGCTTTCAGTCATCACACCTTCGGAAGAGAGGTTGGCGTCCACGCCGCTCCAGGTGCCCGGACACGAGTGCCGCGCCACTTGCTCATGGCTCCAGTCTTCATGCCAGGGGTGCCGGGATCGCTCTGGGTTCCGCGTGGAATGCAGCGTTCAGAGTCCCGGGCTTGGCTCCGTCGGGCCCCCATGCAATTCCTGGCAGCTCCCCAGTTGAGGAGAGGAGACAAGTGGTCGGACCCTGCTCAGCCAGCACCGACTGGCAGCAGCAGCAGCAGCTCCCAGCATTTCAGGCAGTCTTCCAGCTGGACCTGGCAGCAAGCCGGTCAGCAAACCTGCGATTTTCTGCAGGCGAAGCGAGAGCTCTGCCATTGAAATGCGGCCCTTCCCGAATCGGTGGCTGCCTCCGATTTCCTTTCACAGCGTTGCTTGTTCCATACAAAGGCATGTTCTGCCCGCTGGGAGACTCCAGTCCCACCAGGAGGCTTGGAGGTGACAGAAAACCAGTGTGGTGCGGATTCAAAGGGACACCACAGCACAGCAAGAGCGCCTAGATCTTGCTGGAGGAAAATTAAAGGTGGTGCAGATGGCAAGAATGAATTCCCAGCACTGAGGCACAAAAAGGGGAAGCCAAGGACTGCTAGCGCTGGCAAACCAGGGGGAAGAGGAGCAGCAAAGGCAGACTCGAAAAGGTTGAGGGCATTTGCATGGTACCTCCAAACGCGGAAACCGGCAAATGAGGCAGCAGCGCCACCTGCACGCCCATGCCTGTAATGTGGGAAGGTCAGCCAACGCTGCACCAGCGTGGAAACTGGCAGAACTGGAAGTCCACACTCTGCCCCATGTCAGTGGCCTGAACACGCAGCACCACCCTTGTCCACACCGAAGGCGAGAGCGAGCGTTTGCAGAGCGACAAGCTGGCAGCCGGCACGCACCTGGGCCTCCAAGTCCCTCCCTCCCGAGCAAGCGAGCTGACAGGCCCGGCTGAGGAACAGGGAGAACAGGGGTCAACGGACAGTTCTTGGAGGGGGAGATGCAAAGAGATGCTCCCCAAGGATCCATGTGGGGACTGGCGCTTTGTAACTTCATCATACGATATTGCACGAAATGGACAGCTCTGTGCGCAGTATATTGGTCAGGGCTGCAAAGTGCTCTCAATTATCCCTTTTAAAAGGGAGGCCACAAAAAGCTAAACGAAGTTCCATGTAAAGTGATGCGTATTTGCTTTCTGGAGCACAAAATAATTTTTAAAAATCCTAACCCTGCATACACCGAAGAGATTTGAGGTATACATGACTTAACCAAAACATGGGGTTGGGATTGTGGTGGAAAGTCCGAAGAAATGGTGACCACGGAGGGCAACAGCTGCCAAGCACACCATGCAGTTCTGGTTGTATCATTTTAGGAAAAGAAACCAGGATCCCGGAGAGCTGGAAGAGGGGCAAGAAGGGGCAACCAACAGGATCCTCGGCTGGAGCAACTGCCCAGAGAAATGGCCTGGGGCAAGGGTGCTTCTCAGGGCACCAAAGGGACAGCCACAACTGCAGGCTCCTAACACCGCATGTTTGTCACATTGTGCATGGTGTGGAAAACAGATGGATAGGGAAGGGCTTCTCCACTGAACCCCAGAACCTCAAACCGGCCATCCCATGAAGCTGACTGGTGGGGAAAGCTGCACCCCAGAGCAAGGACATCCTCACAGGGTACAGAGTTAAAGGAAAGACTTTGCTCCCAGAACCGCCCCAATGGGCAGCAATTTGGATGAACAGATTCAAAGGAGATTAGACAAATGCGTGAAGGAAAAAGCCACCAGTGGCTAAAAATCATGTTGGCTATGCAGATATTCCTGATACAAAAACAACACGCACCTGAGATGCAGGGAGCAAAGAGCAGCACTCCCTGGAAAATTCCTGGAAAACTCTGGAGCAGATTATAAAGCTGTCAGTCTGCAAATACTTTGAAAGGAACGCAGTGATAATTAGAAGCCAACATGTTTTTCTGAAGAACAACTTCTGCCAAACTAATCTGATTTCATTTTTTGACTGGGTAATATCCCTGATGGACTGTGGGAATGCTGTGGCTGTAATCTATCTTGGCTTCTGTTGGCTACAGAATCGGGACTCATAAAGCGCTCATCAATGGCACCTTCTCAAGCTGGGGAGAGGCAGCGAGTTGGTCCCGCAGGGTCCAGTCCTGGCCCAGTGCTCTTCAACATTCGCATTAATGACTTGGATGAGGAGGTGCACGGAATGATTACCAGGTTTGCAGATGACACAAAACTGGGAGGGATGGCAAATACCCTGGAAGACAGAAGAAAGATCCTGGGTGAACTTGATAGGTTAGAACACTGGGCTGAAAACAACAAAATGAAATTCAACAGGGACAGCTGCCAGCCTGGGACAAAGAAACCAAATGCACTGTTACAAGACGGGGAACAGGCGGCTGAACAGTACTGCAAAGGAGAAGGATCTTGGAACTGGTTTAGAACACCAACTCAGTATTAGCCGGCAAGGTGATGCAGCTTAGCTACAAAAGGGGAGAGGCTGTTTTGGGAAGCATTAACAGAAATATCACTCCCAAACCCATGAAGTGCCAGTTGCCCGTTATGCAGCACTGGTCAGACCTCATCTGGAGTCCCGTGTGCAGCTGGCGGCACCTCAGTTTAAGGAAGATGCAGACAAGCTGGGAAGGGTTCAAGGGAGGGCAGCAAGGAGGATCCGGGGTGTGAAAAGAAAGGCCCATGCACAGAGGCACAGAGAACGGGGCATGTTCAGCCTTGAGAAGAGAAGGCCGGAGCGAGACATGACGGCATTCGAAAAGTACTTGAAGGGCTGTCCCAAAGGACGGGCAAAAGTCTTCCCAGTCGCCCTGGACTGCAGGGCACCTGCATTGCGGGAAGCCAGATTCTGGCCAGCTCTCAGGAAAAGTCTTCTCACCGCCGAGCGGCCGAGCGACGGAGCCAATCGCCTGGGGAGGCTGCGGGTTCCGCTGCGCCGGAAGCCTCCAAGGGGGTGGTGCGTCGTGGTGTCCAGCGCTAGCAGGGGCTTGCACTCTCGCCCCCCCCCCCACACACTACTGTTCTTCAAGTGCCGGTCCTGCTAGCGGGCAGCTCAGAACCCATGGGGGCCGCTGCAGCGAAGAGCGTGCCGGAGGCACTTCGGTCCAACGGCGGCATCGCCGTCTCTGCTTGCACAGATGGCCAGCCACCGACCGAGCAGGGGTGCCACCCGAAGAGAAGCCAGACGGATGCCTCGCAGCCCTGCATCACAAGCAGGCGAGCGGGCAAAGGAGAAGGCAGTCAGGATGACAGAAGAGAGGCCGGCTCTTTCCCGACACCAACTGCTTGGGGGCCAGTAAAGAACGTGCAGCGACCCAGGTGGCCCACCATCCTGAAGGCACCCTGACCTCACAAGCAAGAGGGTGGGGCGGGGGTGGGCGCCACCCCTTTGTGCCCAGAGCCAAGGACTGGGCTCGGGACGCCAGCCGAAAAGCCCCTCGAGTCTCAACCGCATTTGCCGCGAGAGCCCCTGGGCGGGCGGGACCCGCTCTGAACCGCATGCACCGCCAGCGGGGAGCCGGCGCTGCTCGTCTCCGGCAGGCCCCCACGCCCCCCAGCCTGCAGAGTCCGAGGGCGCAGCCGCAGCTCCCCAGGGAGGGCTCCGCTCCACAGGGGCAGCATGCCTTCTTCCGGCCCCCTCGCGGGCCAAGCCTTGCCTCTGGAGAGCCACTGCCCCCTCGGCCCAGAGCCTCTCCCAAGTCCAGCTCCGACTCCGACTGGACAATCCCAGAGGCCAGAACATGTTGGCCAGCCTGGAACACCAGAGGGCGACACAGTCCCAAATGCCCTTGTGCCACGGGCTGACAGAGCCCAGTGGCAGACAAGGCAGCGGCCGCACCACGCTGCACAGCGAGGGGCCGATGCCTGCACCCAGCGCTCCCTCCACCCCTTGCTTGTGGGCGCGACGGGGGCACACACAGCCCTTGCTTGGCCGGAGAGCAGCCCAGGGAGGGCCAGGAACGAGGAGCTGCCAGTCCAGCTCCCCATGCTCAGCAGGCTGCGGTGGTGCTCGTTCGAGAAGCTGCAGCCCCCGGCCAGACTGCGCAGTTGCCCTGCAGCGAAGACCCCCACCAGGGCCTGCCCCTCCTGCCTCACAGGCCCAGCCGTGCGCAGGGCCCAGCTGCTCTGGCCTCCCTCCAAGGCCTGGAGAGCCAGCGGCCGCCTCGAGCCCCTGAAGGGCTGCCTCGCCCAGGCAGCGCTCACCCTGGGGCTGGGGGAGCCGGCACCCCTTCAGCGCTGGGGGGCTGTCTCGGCATCATCTTCCTCCTGGTGGTGCAGCAGCAGCAGTAGCTCCAGGTCTGGGCGGGAGTCCGGCGTGCGGGGGGGCCTGGCGCCCTTCGGTCCTGTGCAGGGAGGGCAGGTCAGGCAGGCCCCAGCGAGAAGCCCAGGGTGCCCCTGCCCCCACCCCACCCCACACTCACCTCCGGCCCCCAGGGCCTTCAGCGCGACATGGAGGGAGATGCCCGAGAGGCAAACGGCAAAGCCCAGCCAGTTCAGCGGGCTGAGCCGGTCGCCCAGGAGGTGCGTGGCCAGCAGCACGGTGCAGACTTCCTGCGGACGAGGAGTCGGTGAGCGCGGCGCTGCAGGGGCCGCTCCTGGGCCTGCCCGCCCGCTGGCTCACGGCAGCGCCCACCCTTCGCTCCCGGGCCGGCGGCTCCCGGAAAAGGAGCCCCTGGGCCCCTGAGGCCCGCCCACTCCCCAGGCCCTCTCGCAGCCTGCCCGCCCGGGAGGGCTTGCGGCCCGGAGGAGAGGCGGGCTGCCGTACCTTGAAGATCCCGGAGATGGACAGGGTGAGGCTGGAGGTCCTGGAGACCAGGAGGAACTCGGAAAAGCCCAGCCCGAAGGCCAGCAGTCCCCCCAGGGCCAGCTGGGCCAGCTGGCGCAGCAGCGGCTCCACTTCGTGGAAGCGGAAGAGCTTCTCCGAGGCGGACAAGGGCAGGCCTGGAACGGGAGGAGCAGAGAGCAGTCCAGAAAGGGAGCACGCTGGGCCGGGCAGCCCAAAACCTCTGGGGGACGCAGGTTAGAGAAGGCGACAGGAACCCTTGGCAGCGTAACAGCACCGTGAGCATCTTTCTCCCGGCACTTTTGTTGTGTCCACTTGAGTGTATGAAGAGGAAAACCTCATGTGTTACAGGGTTATGCTCTCTGGATTGCACCATTGCTAAATTATGCTTTGCAATGCCCATTTTTATTTGTGTGGCTGCACCGCTTATGCCCAGGACTGAATCAGCTTTGCACTACATGCACGTTTTGTAAGCACACATACGTCGCTACAAAACTTGTTCCTATTTCTGTTCTATACTCCGCAGTCAAATGCTGGGCAGTGTCAGAAATTCATCTCCAAGCAGCAGCAGCAGCAGCAGCAGCAGCTTTAAACTACTACTATTTCGATCGTTTGAATTAAAAACACAGAACCAAAGTGAGTCAGAAGGGGTCAACTGGGCCATCTAGTCTGACCCCCAGGCTCCAGCCGGCTCCACCCATATGTGGTTGTCCAATCTTTCCTTGAACACCCCCACTGGTGGGGCCTCCACCACCTCCTTGGAAGCCCCTTCCATATCCTAGGGGTCGTAACCATCAGGAAGAACTTCCTGACTTCAAGCCTGGTTCCTTGAGCTTGGCCCCGCTGGGACGCATCCTGACCACAGGGAAGAACAGGTCCCAGCCCTCCTGCACATGGCATCCCCTCACATACCTACAAGTCACTAAACAAGCCTGCCGGAGTCTCCTTCTCCAGACTGAAAAGACGCAGCTCCCTCAACCTCTCCTCACACATCATCCCTCCCAACCCGGCCGCCATCCTCATGACCCTGCGCTGGACCCATTCTAACCTAGCTGCGTCTCTCCTCTCAGGTGGAGCCCAGAACTGGACGCAGCACTCCAGTTGTGGATGCGCCAGAGTCGTGCAGGGCGGCATCAGCACCTCCCTAGATCTGGAAGCCGTGCTTCTGGCTGTATGACCCAGGGTGGCATTTGCCTTCTTAACCGCCGCATCACACGGCTGGCTCGTGTTCAGCCTGCGGTCGACCAGCACCCCGAGGTCCCTTCCACAAGTGCTGCTCTCCAGCTACTAGCTCCCCGTCCTGTCCCGGTGACACCTATTCCTGTGTTCCAAGTGCAAGACCTTGCGCTTCTCCACATGGAACGCCATCCTGTTGTCTCCTGCCCACTTCCATAGTCTGTCCAGATCCTTTTGGATCTGGAGTACCTGCTCCTCAGTTGTGGACACTGCCCCCATTTTAGTATTGTCTGCGAATTTGATCAGCAGACTGGTCTCCCCTTCTTCCATGCCATTGATGAAAAGATTAAACAGGATCGGCCCCAGGAAAGAGCCCTGGGAGACCCTGCTTGTCACTGGCCGCCATCCCGATGATTCCCCGCTAATGGTTACCCTCTGCTTTCGGTCAGTCAACCATGCCCTAATCCACCGGACAGTGCTTTGGTGTATCCCAAAACTCCTCAGTTTCTCCACCAGGATATCATGGGGCACTTTGTCAATGGCCTTGCTGAAATCCAGTTATACCACATCCACTGCATCCCCTCCATCTAGCCATCGTGAAACCTTGTCGTAGAATTCCACAAGGTTTGTCTGGCAGGACCTGTAATTGCAGGAAGCCGTGTTGTGTGGCTGTCAGCCTCCCTTCCCTATCTAGCATCACTAGATCTCTCTCTATTATGAGCCTTTCCATTGTTTTTCCTACAATGAACGTAAGGCTAACCGGTCTATAATTCCCCAGGTCCCTTCTACTACCCTTTTTAAAAACTGGGACCACTGATGCCACCCTCCAGTCCTCTGGAACTTCACCCGTTCTCCACAAGGCCTCAAAAATGGAGGCCAGCGGGCGTGAGAGAACCCCTGCCAGCATTCTAAGTACTCTCGGGTGTAACCCGTCAGGGCCTGCAATGTCCAATGCCCTGAGGAGTCCCTCAACGTCTAGGGGGGTGACTCTAATCTGTGCCCCTAAGTCCCCGGCCTCATCAAATCTCCTATGTGGATCTACCCCGTCCTGCTTTGGGGAGAACACAGAGGCAAAATAGTCATTTAGCATCTGTGCCTGTTCCCTCACATCAGTCACTGGATCTCCTTCCTCCTTATTTAGTGGTCCCACCACTTGTCTCCCCTTCCTCTTCCTATTTACATGCTGAAAGAACCCTTTTTGTTGCTCTTGATATTCTTGGCAAGACTCAGCTCATAATCTGCCTTAGCCTTGCGAAGAATCCTTCTGCAACGGGCCTCCTCCTCCCGGTATACCCCTTTGTCTATTTCTCCCAGTACCCATTTCCTACGGAGGTTCCTCTTTCGTCTAATCCCTCTAACCACCTCCTTTTGCATCCATGGCGGCACTCTCCTCCGCCTCCCCATCTTACTGACTAGAGGTATCATCCAGGCTTACGCCTCCAAAACCTCCCTTTTGAGTGCCATCCACCCCTCAACTCGCTTGCCTTCCAGTAACCTATCCCAGGAGACTCTCCCCAGTCTGGCCTTCAGTTGGCTCTCTTGAAGGCCCAGCTTCTAGAGCTCGACCTGCTGCACGTCCCCAGATCTCAAAGCAAAGGATGGAGGGATCACTCGCATCCAGAGCTCCCCTAATCTGTACTTCATCTATCAGCTCCTCCCTATTGGTCAAGACCAAGTCAAGGATGTTTCCCCCCTCGTCGCCTCTCAGACCCTGTGTGAAAAACGCTCCCTCAATAGCTTCTAGGAAGCGACGTGACCTGGCTGTCACCGCCGAGTGAGTCTCCCAACTAATATCCGGGAGATTGAAATCTCCCATAATTACTGTGTCTCTCCCCCGAGATATCCTTCGAATCTGGCCTGTCAGGACATCATCCAGGGTCTCAAGTTGACCTGGAGGGTGATAACATACCCCCACTGTCAGGCCCCTTTCCCTGTCAAAACCCCTAAGTTTCACCCAGACTGCCTCTACCGAATCCCCATCTGTGCTGCATTCTATCTCACTGCATCCTGTCCCTTCCCTGAAGTATAAAGCCACGCCCCGACCTCTCTTTCCCTTCCTGTCCTTTCTGAAAAGGTGATACCCTTCTACGATCACATTCCAGACTTGCCTTTCATCCCACCAAGTTTCTGTGATCCCCACCAGGTCATACCCGCCTATTCCCAGGAGAGCTTCGAGCTCTTCTTGCTTATTACCCATGCTCCTAGCATTGGTGTACATGCACCTCAACTCCTTCCCACGGCTTCCTTTCCTTAGAGTTCCCAGCCTCCTCCTTCCTCCCATCCTCCCTGATACCTGGCCCCTCTCTGTAGGAGTCCTGTCCGTCCCTGCAGTATCTCTAAAACCCTGCTCCCAGAGCCCTGATCCTCTCCCCACACTTGTCCAGTGCAGACACGTTCCTGGGGGGCCTGAATCACCCCCCCAGCTCAGTTTAAACTCTTCTGGATGAAGCTCGCTCAAGCATTCAGTCAGCAGACTGGTTATCCCCTCCTCCATGTCATTGACAGAAAGGTTGAGCAGAACCAGTCCCAGAACTGAGCCCTGGGGGGCTCTGCTCATCCCCGGGTGCCATCCTGGTGATTCCTTACTGATAGTCACCCTCTGCTTGTGGTCTGCCAACCATGCCCCACTCCATCGGACAGTGCACTGGTCCGTCCCAAAGCTCAACAGTTTCTCAACCAGGATATCATGCGGCACTTTGTCAAAGGCCATGCTGAGATCCAGGCAAACCCCAGCCACCGTGTCCCCTCCATCCAGCCACCTCAAGACCTTATCACAGAATTCCAAATGTTCGTCTGCGGGATCTGCTTTTATGGAATCCATACTGAATTCATACTTTATTTCCCGTAATTGGAACTCAAGTCAACTCACAACATTAACATTTTTACAATTAGAAATTGGAAAGATACAAAAATTAAAAAATGTTTGAATAGGGTTAGATATTAAAATTGAACAAATAGCAAGACTGAAAACACTACAAGCAACAGAGAGAATAAAACTAATCAAATACAAGCTCACAGGCTGCCGGCCAGAAATGCCTTCCGTCTTGTAGGCAAAGCCTCTACGTTGCCTGGCTCGGCAGGGAAGATCGTCAAAGGACCCCCAGGACATCACCACTCGTTAGTGAGCAAGTGCTGCGATCCCGAACCACAGCGAGGCCTGCACTCCAGGGCAAGCTGGCTCCCATTCCAGCTGGATGGGCTGCCTGTGGGAATGCGCCCCCCTTCTTGTCAGTATGTTGCCTTCCTACAAGTAGACTCACTAGCGTGAGAAACTCGCTCATTTTTTCAGAGCATCACAGCAGCAAAGAGCCTATGAGGAGGTGCCTGGCCCAGCGCCTTTGCTCCGTCAGCCTTGCTCAGGGCTGCAGGCTTCGCTGACGTTACAGTCCAGCTGATAAGGGCCTTGCTGACTGACACTGAGCTGAGAACTTGCATGCATTGTAAGCTCTTCAAATTACTGATAAACCTGCTTGTATGCACACCGAGACCTGGCGCACCACTTTCCGGGGATTCCAAGACACTCAGAGCCTTTGCAGGGGCCAATACATATGGGAGAATACAGTACCCCAGACGGCGGGGCCCCAGCTGTGCACGGCTTTACAGTTCCTCCCCGGCACTTTGAACTGTGCCGAGAACCAGGCTAGGCGCCAGTGGGGCTGATCCCACAGGGGAGCGGCATGTTCCCTGTGCCAGGCCCAGTGCGGCCTGGCAGCCGCTCTCTCGACCTGCTGGAGTTTTCGAACGCTCTCCGGAGACAGCCCCACGCAGAGCACGCTGCAGTCACCCGGGCAGGATGCAGCTACGGCATGTGTCACTCTGGTCAAAACCAGCAGCTGACGGAACGGGCACAGCTGGCGCGCGGGTGCTAAGTGTGCAAGTGTGCTTCTGGCCACTGGCGAGACCTGGGCACCCAAACTCCAGATCTGGCACAGTGTGGACTCCTGCTCCCTGCTCTACCTTCCAGCTGACTTGTCTGGATAAGCTTCAATTTGCGTGCCCTCATCCAGTCCACCACTGCTGGCAGACTTGCTTTAGGACCCAGCAGCCTCCTTGCAGTGAGATGGAATGTCAGCAGCCCTAAATGAATCCCAACATTCCAGACAACCTCTCCAGTCGGTTTCACACACACATTAAAGAGCACGGAGGCCGGCGCAGAACCCCAAGAACTCTACAGGTCGGTGACAAGGAAGCAGAGCAGGAGGTGCCCAGCACCACATTCAGGGCCCGGAATCACTGCAAACAGCCTGTCCGATCTCCATCCCAGGAGGCAGCTGAGAAAGTTGCTACGGTCTAGCTGCTGGTGTGCCCAAAGCTGTTTCTGCCCCATAACCCGCTCTGAAGCCAGGCTCAGTCAGAGAGAGCTACTCCATCTCATCCAGCATCCCTGCAGCTAAGAGGCCAGCACAGGCTCTAATGCCTTGTCCAAACCGAAAAATTAGAAACTGGCTGATAATTATACAGCCCGATCCAGGGAAAGCACTTTTATTTTATATTAATATTTATATACTACCCCCATTCACAGAGGCTCCGAGCGGTCTACAAGAAATTAAAACCAACACTGAGTAATATTGACTAAGACAGTCTATTAAATAAAACAGACACATAAACTGATCTTGGAAAGCCTGTCCGATGAGATACGTGTTTAGCTCCTTCTTAAAGGTGGGGGCTTAGCGAATCAGACGTCTCTCCCAGCTGGCCATTCCACAGCTTAGAAGCAACCCCGGAAAAGGCATGGGCCTCACCACCACTTCCTTCAGGCAGGTTGGGGCGCTGCCCTGGCTCAGAGAAGCATCGGCCATGCTGCCCACTCAGTCAGCCCCTCCCCGGCTACTTTCACGAGCCAGGAAGGGCAAGGATCCAAAGCACACACGCTCACCTCTCCAAATGACCCTCTCCACATCTCCAGGCTGTACAAACTGAAAAGTATCCAACAACACGAGACAAGCAGGGTCCAAAGTTATATCCCCTGGCACTGTATTAAAAACAGGATCCATGTCAGAGCAGATTCAAGTAATTTTGGCTGCCGAGTGTGGAGCGAACTGTTCACAGAGCGTTGCCAAGAGACTTGAGTCCCCCTCCTGCAGATTCGTGCATCAAAGCCTCTAACCACCCCAAACAACTCCACAAGACGGCTCTTCACCAACGCCACAGCCTACAAACTCAGTGATAAATAAAGCTGCAATATGGACCAAATCGATGACTCTCGATCTTTCCCAGCACACGTCTAAACCATTCAAGATGTGGTTCTAAGACAGGGGAACTAGCCATATTCGAAAAAATCTGCTGCTTTCTGGCCACCAGTAACTGCCTACTGTATTGAAAGCCTCCTTTACAACAAATACTCAGCTGAGATTTCCATCCAAGCAATACGGGCCGTTTTCCAGCACAAAGGATCACCTCTGTGGATGCGCCATTATTCTTCTACAACCTTCCTTTTTCTGCTTGAATACTTTTGCTTTTCTAAAGTTGCCACACACCCCAAAACTCTCCCCTTCATTCAATCCAAACGACTTACCCTCAAAAGCAGCAAAAAGTGGAAAGAGTCCCAGGAACATGGCTGGCTGCAGGTGAAACATGGTGTCTATGGGGTTCTGGAGCCCTGGGGGAGAGAGCGACACATCAAAGGAGAGATACAGCGCCCCCCCCCCCCGTGCAGCCCCCCAAGTGCTACACACCAAGCTCCTCTTTCTGCAGCAGGATCTGCGTCAGCGTCCAGCGGATGCCGCCCAGGAAGGAGGCGCCCAGCACCAGGGCAAAGCCCTCAGCGTCGAACTGGGTGGCTTTGTAGGTGAACAGGAAGAGCCCCCCGGCGATGAGCAGCACCACCAGCATCAGCGCGGCCCTCTGGCACGAGAAAGACGCGCCCGGCGGCCCGTGAGAGCTCCGCGCGCCGGCCCCGAAGCCCGGCAGAGGCCCCCACCACGCGGGCACCGGGCGGGCCCCTTACCGGCTGCTCCAGCTTGAAGACCAGCGAGAAGAACAAGATGAAGAGGACCGCCGACGACTTCGTCATGGTGTAGCTGCAAGGAGGAGGGCAGGGCTGCGATGCCGCTGCGGCCCGGCGAGCGGCGCCGGCGCCTCGGCCGCCCCCCGCCCGGCCCGGCCCGGCCCGGCCCCACTCACAGCGAGACGGAGATGTAGAGGAAGCTCCAGTTGCTCAGCCCCACGTCCAAGGCGGTGGACAGCGCTGCAAGGCAGAGGCGTGAAGCGGGAGGGGGCGGCGCCGGCCCGGGAGGGCTTCCGCGGGGCGCGCGGCTCCCGCCCCGCCCCGCCCCGCCGGGGGCGCTCGCGGCGGACTCACCTGCGGGGCCCACGCGGCGCAGGTAGGCGGCCCAGGGCAGGAGGGGCCGCGCGGGGCGCTTGGCGACGAGGCCGCCCC